CATACCTTTAGTGATACTAAACATTCCATAATCAGTTTTTAATGTTCATTTACTTCCCACCCACCCTGTATATCTGGCAGCAATATCTTTGGTCGGGAGGATTTGAGAAGCGTGGAAGCACCTATTAATTTTTTATCGTAAAAACACTAGCATAATTTTTGGAAAAAGAATAATTTTACCAACAATACATCTTTGAAGAAAGAATATTACTAGCAATACATTTGACTCTATCTACAAAAATACATCAATTAAACTACATTAACAAATTGATTTCTTACAATAAAATACACATTCTTTTCATACGAACCTATACAAAAAAAACTTGTCGGCATTAACTAACCCATTGAGGTTGATATGCCGTAAAACAAAATAAACATAACCAGAGAAATACACAATAACCTCATTAAATAATGACGATATATGATTTGCATTTCTTTCAATTTAAGCTGTAAAATTAAATTTACTGTCTGAATTTTTTTTCTCTGGGGAAAAACGAGAAGCATGAAATTGAATTTCGAGATTATGGCGAGAAAAATATATATATATATATATATATATATATATATATATATATATATATATATATATTATTTATTGGATTCTGTTCATGTCTGCCGATAAAGTACGATTTCACAAAAGAAATTTTAAAAAAATCTGATAACTACAATCTTTCTGTATTTCTGGGATGAAAAATTATTATTATTTATACTCTTTATATTTGGTCGATTCTCTTCTTTGTTGTTATCAAAACATTTCTGTTGTTTTGTTCTCCGACCTTCTGCAAGGGCATATCGAACATCCAGTAATCCTCTATTTAATCTAAAGGGGTAGACTGTTCTCGTTCCACTGTCAATGTCTCGGGATATCTCGTCTAGCACTTAATACTGCGCAGTTATTGCTCGTCCTGTTTCTACTGAATCCAAGTACGGGGATTGAAGTCATAATCGATGGAGAAATTATTCAACATTCCCTATTCAATGTCATATAGAAGTTTAGATATTATATATAAATTTAGCGCTCATTTTCTTATGGTTTCTTACGACTTTTTTCGGAGTCTTTTAAGCTTGTTTCTAATCTAAAAGACATTCGCAATTCCCGTGACCTTATTGGGTTTCTCTGTCACATTTTCTGTCGTCTCTTAATAAATTGATCTGATATTTGAATTTGTGTCGCTGCTTGATTTTGCCATCCTTAATATATAGTTCATATCATTAGCTTGTCTATTTTACTGACGACCAGTTCCCAATAAGAATACAACTGATAATAATACTATATATTCTATTCTTGTAAATACAACTAATATTTTGATCATTTCGCAATTGTTTAACATTTGAGCGGCTTGATGAGAGCGTTGTTATTGATTTGATTACGAATGTTTAACCAGAGACGTCATATAATAAATAAGAATTTTAGAGTGTCATTTTCCCACATTTTTTCAACTTTACTGCTAGATGGTGTAGTCCAACATATCATACCATTTTCGAATCAGACTGAGCAAAGTAAAAAACATTCCGGGCCGTATTCGGACCAGCAATCCTGAAATTTTGGATTCCCGAGTTTTCATTACTGCGATTGTTTTTTTGGATACCGCCATCTTGACTTCTCTGAATAAAAACAATTAAAGGGAGGCAACTCTCTACCTTTCAATAGCTCATGTTCAAATGAAATAAATAGTGTTCTCAAATTACGGTGATTTAAAATAAAATTGTCCTTGTTTCCCACTTTACTATTATAAGCCCCAGCCCAACATATCATACTATTTTGGAACCAGGCCGGATCCTGACCCGCAATCCTGAAATTTTGGTTTTGTAACTGGTAATTGTTTTGGGTGAATTTTTTCGGCGATTATTTTCGGAGAATTTTTACCTGATTTTTTTGCAACGATTTTCTTTTTTTACGATAACAAATTTTATAACTTGGAAATAAATTTAGAAATAATCGAAACGGAAATCCAACGAAAGTTACCCATGAAATAAAAATAATTGTTTGTACATGGACCTACGCACATCAAATTGTCTTTAAATTAAGTGGCGACAGAAGAATTATCGTTGAATTTTTAAAAGGTAAGCTTAAATATTAATATTAATGCAATACTTAAATGCAGCGATCAATTTTGAGTTTTTCTGTAGTTTGTTGTTGCCTATCGTATACGGCAACAATATGCCTCACACAAAGGAATCTTCGACAACAGTGAACCAGATTGCAATCAAAAAAGCCAAGGCTGCAGCGAGGAAAAGAAAGTCCCGTGCAATTGAAAACCAAATCAAACGTCACCCAGGAGAGATTCCAATGTTGACAATATGCAAAGACTTACGGACTCTCAAACTCCTGAACAAGCCAAAGGCTCAGTATAGAGCTCTCCTCAGGAGCTAGCTTAAATGCCGCCCGATAAGGAGACTTTTAAACTAGAATCGTAATATATTTGAAAGTGTAATGAAAACGCGTGTTTAAATCTCTCAAACGGAACATTACATTTTATTCAACTCCGGGTTCGTCAATTATGGTCGAACAGTTTGGGTAGAGGCCGAGGTCCGGAACCTCATCTAAACGTATAACAAACAGTTTTGTGTGCGAAGTCTCCATTCTCTTTTCTCTTTGGAATCGGTGTTTATATATATATATATATATATATATATATATCTTTAACACACTATTCTTTCCCATGCGTTTCATCCCGTTTTCATATATTTGGACAGCCACTGACATTCTATGAATGCATATTTGACATCTCTTAGAACAAGACACCTATTCAGCTGGCTGCTTGGACGTTACGCTTAATGCTGATATAATCTGTGTCGAAACACCTACTTTGATATAAGTAAAAATATGGTTTTAAAATCTGAATTTTTGAATGCAATTTGCATTCTAAAATAATGAAATCTAACACACTTTAAATCTACTTTAAATATAACAATAGGTAAATGTATTTTTGGTGCAACAAAAATTAGATTTATTTTAAATGTAAAAAATTTATATTTAAATTTGTTTTATGTCTAACAAAATTTAATTTGATTCAAGTGTAATAAATAGAAATTTAATTATTTTTGTCACAATAAGCATCATTGCCAAATGACCAAAACTGATAGTGAAATTATTTTATAATTTCTTGTTGAAAGATTGTTTGATTCTAGATAAAAGTAATTCGGAAAAAATCTGATTGATTTTTCCTTTTAAAGATTCCACTGTAAATAAATTGTTTCGTTGATTCCATTAAATAAGTTTCGGTGCTAAAATTTGGTTGTGTTAGATAGATAGATTCATTCATTTTCTACGGCTTATCAACCCTTATCAAAGCCAGAAAATATTTTAGATTGTAAGAATTTTTTTGAGGGTACAGATAATGATTTAGGTATACAAGTCTTACTAATTAACCCATTGCAGAGGGGAGAAAAGATAGATTCATACCATTCCCAAGCGTATTTCATAGTAAATGCATATAAAGAACGCAACGGGAATTGGAACTCGGCTCGCCGATTATAAATTTCGGGCCACTATCTATTAAAACACCTGCGGATCCATCTTTATATTCCCACGTTGTCACGCATCTAGTTACTGATCAAGCTTGACGTGGCTTAACTTCGGTGATAGTATGGGAATCGATGCTTCCAAGTGATATGAACGCTAAGTCAGGGTTGTGTTAGAAGTACTCTTTTTAATAAGACACGTTTATCAGATCAAAACGTTTACATCCTCGCTTGCATTAACTTCACCGGCCTACAGCATATCAAATAACAACGAGTATAATGGTCTTATTTTAAGGATAGACCACTTTCCTGGCACCGTACACACTCATTTGCATATCAGTGATCACTTCTTCCTACATGACGTAAAAAGGGGTTTTGATTATAGTAATTTGCTGGCTAGTTCACTTTCAGCCAGTTCTAAAATTGTCAAAAATTGAAATTTGTGACTGATCTAGCCAATGAGTTGTTATAATTAATTTTAGCTCGATTAGACTTCCCCCTTTTATATATATATATATATATATATATATATATATATATATATATATATATCATAAATATTTTCATAAATATTTTAACTTGATCCCAAACGGTGAATAAGATTAAAAAAGAGGAAACAGTAGAGAGGAAAACTGGATCAGAAGGTCGCATCAGGAAGGTGGGGAGGTCATCATTTCAACTTAGAGTTAAAAAGATCAATTAGAAAAGATCCAACTAAATCCATAAGCCTTTTGGCACGTATCAGAGAAGTTTCAGCTATGACAGTTCAAAAAACAGTAAAAAAAAAAACAAACTTGAAAATGAAATCATACGTGAAGCCCGTGAGCCACCTTGTTACGCATGAACAGGTAATCCTGAAATAATATATATATATATATATATATATATATATATATATATATATATATATATATACTCAATTTCAATCTTTCATGATTTTCCGATCTTACCCAATTAATGACGAGCATATTTATTTAATTCCAGTAAGATATCTTTAAACATTTCTAAGATACAACAGTTCAAAGCTTAATCTAAGAAAGGCAGAAGCTTGCTTTTACACGATATGGATAATTTTGATGTTCCACCCGGTATCTACCTGTCATTCGTTTTTTTTCACGTTTGCACATCTAAGGTGCAACTGTGTCGATTATATATTCGCAGGTCTGATTAGCCACTGCCATACTATTATGCGCGGATTCCACACCCGAAGAGGTGTTCATCTGTCATATCAACTTCCTAATGGATTTGGGATTGGTGAGGGTCTGTTTTACCCATGTATTTATTTGATAACCTATGGAGTAAGTTACATAGTACAGTCATAAAGATATATGCTTATTCTATTAACATAAATTCCCGGATTACTAGAATCAATGAATTCTTTGAATGTGTTTTGTTTCATTTAATTTTCTCTTCCTTTATTCTGGATTATTTACTTTCTACTCTTGCTCCTTCCGATACCCACCAACTCTAACTTCCTTCCGTTTAATATCATTTTGTTCAGAAAGCGAAACTCGTCCAAACAGAGGTATACCGCTGATGAGACAGCGGCTATTCTCTCTCTCTCCCTCTCTCCCTCTCTCTCTCTCTCTCTCTCTCTCTCTCTCTCTCTCAGTAGTAATAATCGGTCAACAAAGCAGAAAAAATATAGATCTGTGGTTACGAATTTTGCATAATGTAATAAATGTATCAGCGAGGAAATCCTAAAGAAAGAAATAAAATGGTAACCAAAAGATAATTTCTATTCAGAATAAGAAAGTGACCGTCGAAATATCTTAAACAAATAATGAGGATGAAGGACTTGGAAAACGTAATCCCCACAAGGATCAGCGAGAGCAAGAGGGTTAGTAAACTCTAGTGTGTTACCTACCTCGGAGAAAGGCTGGACAGTGGGGATGATAGGAATGACTAATGGATAATTTACTGTGGAGAGCAATGATATTCCTCGGGGTTCGGCATATAGAAGAAGAAGAAGAAGAAGAAGAAGAAGAAGAAGAAGAAGAAGAAGAAGAAGAAGAAGAAGAAGAAATGCATTCAAATATATGTTAGAAGATTGAGCGCTACAAGTTATACCATTTCGTAAAAAGCCCTTGCTGACTTCAAATTTACCTAAACTCTGCCTCCGACCATTTCTTTCCTCTGCCTTCCACTATTCCGTTCCTCTGCTTTCCACCCTTCTATCCCCCTGCCTTCAACTATTCCTTTCCACTTCCTTCCTCTATTCCTTTCTTCTGCTTCCTGCTATTCCCACCCTCTGCCTTCTACTATTTCCTTCCTCTGCCTTCTACTATTCCTTTCCACTTTCTTCCTCTATTCCTTTACTCTGCTTCCCGCTATTCTTATCCTCTGCCTTCCACTATTTCCTTCCTCTTCCTTCCACTATTCCTTTCCACTGCCTTCCACTATTCCTTTCCACTGCCTTCCACTATTACTTTCCCCTACCTCCCATTATTCCTTTCCTCCTCCTTCCACTATTCCTTCCCTCTGCCTTCCTCTATTCCATACCTCTGCCTTCCACCATTCTGTTACCTCCCTCGATGTCTCCTTTCTGTCTTGCCACTTTCCTCTATTATTTCCCTCAACTTGTCTCCATTTCTTCCTTCTGTCTACCCCTATAATTTCCCCCCTCTAATTTCTATCATTCATTCCATTAATCTATGACCATTCCTCCCGTTTGACTCCACCCATTTCTTATCTCTACTTTGCACCACTCCTTCCCTCGCCATTGACGAACAATGATCACATTAAATCTATCAAAAGTATCAGGATTTTCATTTTTTTGATATTTCTACTAATCATGAATATTAAAAATGTCTTTTGAAACCACCGATTTTCAGTTCACGTGAACTCACAACCCTCATTTTCTCTTACTTATCGTGTCCATTAACTTTCATGAGAGAAGATCTTTTGCCAAATTTGTCAACGTGACGCACAGTAAAATGTGAGAGGTTTCAATTTGTATAGATTATATTTTTGAAATAACTTTAATAATTTCTTATACTGTAGCGGACTTTTATTCAAAAAGAAATATTACTTTTCAAAGATTAATAAAATTTTTAAACACACAAGATTGCTCATTATTCCCTGAATATCTATTTTCAAAAGTCTGGACAATTTCCTTGAATATTTCCGTTTTGTTTCCATTACTCTGTGTATTCTCACGATATTTGGGCACATCGATGTGGTTTAATGGTTAGCTAGCTTGTATCGATTATACAGTTGCTACTGAATAGTGAGTTATATACAATAACACTGTAGTTCACTGGCAGAACAGAATAGCTAGAAGGAAAAAGAATGACATGGAGAGATTTATAATGCTGCATCGTACACAAAAGTATATATATACACATATACATGTGTCCCATGCAGAAGAATATCTAATATATATGCAACAACAAACGGTGTGGAGAAAAGGGAAACATTACTTGTAATATTTCTCAAAGGGAAACTGAAGTTACAGCAGTTTCTCTGCAGACCTAGTTAGGCCATGTGTTTTTTTTTTCTGTGAGCTAGAGATGTCTTCCTTCTTTGGACTCTACATCGCAACTGCCCTTGTCACTCTATCCCCTGACGTCAGTCACCAGCCATCACATGACTTATCGAATTAAAAAGGAGACAATTGCTGTTTGTGTATCCCTTGTGCCACATCTAAGCTACGCTTAGAAAATCAATATATTCTCACGATGTTATTCAGTTATATCAACAAAGGGATGAATGTAATGAACTAAAAAATCTATTATGGGAAGAGTTAATTTTGTTGTAGTAACGATTATATAAGCCAAATGAAAATTAACCAAGCGCTCGTCTTCTTTATTCGTTAGATATTTATGTTTTCACCGGCGGAAGCTGTCTTGTCTTTTTTCATAGCGCTGTTCCGCCAATTCGGTTCAGGGCCTAAGTGCGGATGGAAATTTAATCTTCCCTGTATTGTGATCAAAGAACAGAACGTGGGCCGAGCAGATGAAGGAACAAAAGCGGTCAACAGATAACCATCAGTTGACCGGCGCCAGTCCTGACCAGCATGGGAACAACCCAGGATCAAACCGTGTCGCCCTCACCCCCTGTGCTTTAATTCAAACTGCAAAATGTTTGACATTTATGGACATACTGCCATAGCGGAAAGCCCTATTCGTAATTGTTTTGCAAAGGTCATATGTATTGATTTTGATTTGGAAAACCTAGACAGTTCGGTCAAGCTTAAACGCTGATCAAAAATTATTCAGGGCACAAGACACGGCAGAACGCAAAGATACTCTACATAACTCATACGGACGTGGTAACCCGTTTGAAGAAATTTATATATATATATATATATATATATATATATATATCACTACGATATTTTGTTTACCTCACAATGAAACGAAAAAGAATTAATGGTCCGAATATCTTCGATTCTCCGATCAAACGCAACTAAGTGACGCAATTTTTAAAAAAAAAAAGATTATAGGCCATGAAAAATGGGTTGCTTATAACAATGTTTAGCGTAATAAAAGACCAATTCAAAGGTTTACATCCGAAGAAGGTAATGCTGTGCATGTAGCGGGATTGCAGGTGCACTGTTTATTATAAGCTTCTTCTACTGAAAAGTATTGTTCCTAATTGAACTGTCAATACCACACAGGTCAGTTCATCACAAAGACACATTTCCATGTTTTTGTGAGAGGGAACAATTAAGTTGCTTCAGTGATGATGAAACATTGCGTAACAAAATGACCTACGAATAGTTCTACAAATCTGTATACAAATGTCTTAAAAAACGCTACATACTTTTGATGAGACTCAATCGGTATTAGATTTTGTTATAAGTCACTGCAGCTTTAAAGATTCTTTTGAAACGTTATAAGCAACATCCGCTTTTTTACCTTTCATCACGCTGTTTGTATCTTATACCAATAAAACCAGGGAAACCAAAATGAATAAAAAGAAATTAAGATTATCAACAAAACTATAAATTGTATAAAAGCAAATGAATAAAATACCAAAATTTTCATATAATCCGATATTTGCACAATTTCCTTCTCAACATTTTGTTATTTGATTCTAAGAATCCCAAAGTAATGTCGTCTTGATCGGCAGATCTATTATATCAACCGAAATATAATCAATTTTAAAGAGAGAAAAGAACAAAAAAAGAACAGGAAAAAATTCCACTTATCGTGAAACGTAATTCTATCTGGAAATATTAGAAATTAGAAATTCTGTTTCTAGAAAAGCCAGTATTGATCCAAATATCTTAAAACGCTGGAGTGGAAACCCATTTTAAAGAGAAAGCTAATAAATTTTAAAACTCAGATAGGACCATAAAATATTTTGTCGAGTAATTATAAGAATGAATAACCCTGGCTAATGTTTCTGAATCTAGTTACAAATCATACAAATGATATTTTTAAAAAAGAGAAATATCTGAAAGGTTTTACGCTTTTAAAATTCAATTTCTAATAATGACTTTAACTTGGCAATATCATGAGACAATCCAGAATAAGTTCAGGATTGGAATATAATTCAAGCGATAACCATTGGTCCTGATCTTTCAATCGTTATCATAATGCGCGACTTCAAGCAATCAGACAGCATTCAGGCTATCTTGAAGTCACGCATAGATAGACGTCTAACTGACGGTTTGATGTTCACTTTGACACTGGATGACATGTTTTTACAGATCTACTTTTATATCCAAAGTTTAAGCGCTCTACTTGGCCGGCATCTCTCTTTCTCTTACCCTTCCACTGTCGAAACTGTTAAGTGTAGACGTCTCTTCTACTCCAATAGCTTCATGTCACGCACTTCTCGCCTGTGGAACACCCTTCCTTTTTCCTGTTTCCCTGATAGCTATAATCTCCAACTATTCAAATGTAATGTCAATCGACGTCTCCAGATGCTTTGATCTATCCCCTATCTTTCTCTTCATCCTTCCTCTATCACTCCTATTTGCTCTCGCTCCAACTTTCTGTAACCCTTTGCGTGCTAGTGGCTTCCCGCCTTGCTTGGGATGAAACTATATATATATATTAAAGAAAAATGAACCATTTTAAGGTTCCATTATAATAATTTATTTCACCAGATCCCTTTTAAAGGACGTCGGATCATCAGATAACACTTCCAAAAAACCCATCAATTTTCATTTCATTTTTCGTTTCATTTTTTTGAAGTGCTATCTGATGATCCGGTGTTCTTTAAAAGGACTCTGGTGAAATAAATTATTATAATGGAACCTTAAAGTAGTCCGTTTTTCTTTAAAATATTAGCTCTGGCTTTACATTGAGCTCTCAGGATTTCATCCTCCTTGGGATTACCCATACGGATTACCAACTTTTCATAACTTAACTATATATATATATATATATATATATATATATATATATATATTCGCCATTTTCAAACTGATATGTTTTGTCTGCCACAAGGTTACAAATTTTAGGTATTAACTAAATAGTATCTGACGAACTATACTAAAGCTGCTCTAAAAAAAAAAACTCAACTGCACGCCAAAGTTATATACTCCGATTCTCTGATGACAATCTAGTGGTTCGCTACTCCAGCTGCGCATCAAATCAGAAGCATACACAAAGCATTATTAGTAATTTTGATACAAGATTGCAAATAATTTGGTGCTAATGAATTGTAGTCCTTCGATGTGTTCCACCAGGAATTAACTTCTTCTTGTACTATTTCCGAGTATTGAACTCACATTCTTTGCTAGGCCACAAATCTCCTGAGCCGACTAAGCATAGAAATGAATACAATATGGGAGCCAGTAATAAGAGTGCAAGAGAAAAAGCGATAATAACAACAAAATTGCAATATGAGCTTGTAAAAACATGAAATGATAACAGCTGAAAAAATTATTATATGAGCACTGGTAAAAATGGTTGCTGATGATATTAGCTATATAATACCCAGAAATTCATACACAGATGACCTCAAGGAGACATGGCACAGTGGAGAAAGTTCGATCCAGTGACAGAACCCAAAGAGAGTGAGTTCAATACCCGGTTAAGGCAGTGGAGAACTTGGAGAGGCAAATTAACAGAAGATAACTAATAACTGACATCTGTTAAACATGCCACGTGGAACTAAAATAGTCTACCCCAGTGAGCGAAATAAAGGGTTTGATCGACATTCCAACCACCTGAAGAAGGCCGGAGTGTACCACAGCCGAAACGTTGTAATAAATATGGCGACAAAGATGAGGACAATAGTCCGAATAATGCAAATAGTGTACATAATACCTCGTCTCAGAAATATAGACAGGTACTGAAGGTGAGATCAGTTACATTTCTGATAAGACTTCATTTTAGAAAGAGTGAATTATTCCAGGATCCGTTCGTGGAGTTTGCTAAGCCATCTTAGAATTACATTAGTGAACTGTTTATGACAGGTTTACTTTTTGATAACAGTAAACAGTAAGAATTTGGCTAGAAAAGGAAAAATATTTTGGAATATGGAGAGGAAGAACAAGTTCATAATTATCTGAAGCATTGGAATCCTACAAAAGAATGCTGCCAAAAAAGATTGGAAAAACCTAGAGAATCGTGAACGAATGGAATCATTTATTTAACATTGGAATTGGTAAAAATACTGCAGAGATTTCTTGATTTTCAATAGACTTACTGTC